TCTATCTATCTATCTATCTATCTATCTATCTATCTATCTATCTATCTATCTCTGTGTGTGTGGGTGTGGGTGTGTACACATGTCACATGTGTGTGGAGGTCGGAGGACAGGGGTCGGCTCTCTCCTTCCACCATGACGGGGACAGAACTTAGGTTGTCATGTTTAGCGACAAACGCCTTTTCCCACCGAGCAATCTCACTGACCCTTCCTTTGCTTCCTTTTCTTTCTTGTGGTGCTGGGGATTCAGCCAATTCAGGGCTTCTAACATGAAAGGGATGTTGAACCACACACTGCAGCCCTTCAACCTCTGCTTTTTAACTCAGATATTAACCCATTTATATTTAATTTAATTATTGACATGGTTAAGCTTAACCGGCTTGCTCTTTGTTTTGTATACAAACGTGGTTTTTGTTTCCTATCTTTCTTCTTGCCTGCTTCAATTATTTGGTCGTTGTGTAGCATTTGATTTTATGTAGGTGATACACCTCTTGGCTTCTCCTGTTTTTGGCATCTGCTCCAAGGATTATGATATCTTTGCTTTGGATTCATGTCACATCTATATTGATTGATCTGACGCTATGAGAGGAAATGATACTCCTCCCTCCTGTCTTGTGTTAAAAGCGTGGATGTTCCTTCTGCAAATGTCATGTTTCCCACCAGACACCCTTATTTCCATCTCATTGTCCTCTGAGGAAGGTGCGAAATGAAAAGGTGACTTTGTGTCACCACGGTCCAGCTTTCGCATGGCTTCCTCTCTCGGTAGGCCCAAGGCTCTTCAGACCATGTTCTCTCTTGAAGGACTTCCCCACAGTTCCTACACACGTGTCTGTTGTAATGGGCTATCTCAGATTTTGTTTACCCAAGAAGGCTTTATTTCTGCTTAATTCTTGAAGGACGCTTCATTTTTCTTTGTTTGTATGTTTGTTTCAACATTTTCAAGATGCTCTCCTGCTGCCTTCTGGCTTGCATGGCTTCTGATCAGAAGTCACCAGTCCTCTTTACCATGTGTCCCGGCCTGCGATGCATCGGTGTGCCTGCTTCTGGGGTGGTCTCTTTGGCTTTGGTTTTAGTAGTTTGCCTGTGACGTGCCTGCCTTTTAGTTTTTATATCACATGACCTTTATTAATGTGTAGAAGAATATTTTTCACCTACTCTGAATCTCTGTCCTCTCCTTCCACGTCCGAATCACATACATATGACACTGCTCCGTGTTCTATTACAGGTGGTATAGGCTTTTTGTTCTTCTGTTTTTAAGACAGGGCCTCATGTATCCCAGGATGGCCTCAAACTCCATCTGTAATCGATCTGTAGTCTGATCCTCCTGTAGTCACATTAGGAGTTCTTGTATAAATGCAAGCTACCATCATGCCTAATTTATAAAGTGCTGGAGACCAAATCCAGAGCTTCAAGACTGTTAAACAAAGGCTGAAACACATCTCCAGCCTTGTTGGGTTTTAAAATTTGTGCCTAAATTTGTGTTTTTAAAAATGGATCCATCTTCATGTCTGTCTGTTTGTTTTGTTTTGTTTTGTTTTCTGCTCATTTCTCATCGTTTCCAAACTTCTACTCACCCCTCTTTCTTTCAAACCTTTCTCTTCTAATTCCAACATTGGGTCACCTCTCTCTGAGCCTGTCCTCTGAGATATTTTCTGAGAGAGGGTGATATTTGTTCCAGCCATGAAGCGTTACCAGGCAAAGCTGTTCAC